CTCAAAAAAAAAAAAAAGAACATGGATTCCATCAATCTCATTCATCATAAGTCTAGGACCTAGACGGGTACTTGGCACATAGTAGGTGCTCAATAAATACCTGGAGCATGAACAAATAAATGAACATTTCAAAAGAAGTATGATTTATACCCTAGTAGGGTGGTCTTATCTCAAGACAGGTTGTATACTGGAGGATTAAGAACTCAGAGTTCAGATGGGCACAGTGGCTCCAGCCTGTAATCCCAGCACTTTGGGAGGCCGAGGCAAGAGGACTGGCCCAGTTGGGCAACTTGATGAGACCTCCTCACTACAATAAATCAAAAAATTAGCTGGGTGTGATGGTGCATGCCTGTAGTTACAGCTACTTGGAAGGCTGAGGCAGAAGGATCGCCTAAGCCCAGCAGGTTGAGGCTGCGGTGACTGTGAGCATGCCAGTCTGGATGACAGAGTGAGATTCCAACTCAAAAAAAAAAAAGAAAAAGGAAAAAAAAGATCTCAGAGTTCAGAACTTGACTTTCTTGGTTTTAATTCTTACTTCCACTACTTATGTGCTATGTGATCTTGGCAAATCACTTTGCCTCAGTCACGACAGCCTCATTTGTAAAAAGGGGCTAACATTAGTATGTGCCTCATGAGGCTGCTGTGAGGATTAAAGTTAGCATCTGTAAAGTGTTTAGACCTGTGATTAGAACATACTAAACATTACATAAATGTTGACTAGTATTATTGAAGCTATAAAGCTCTCTTTATATGTACTCTACAGTTCCTAGGTTGGTTGTTATTTTATTTTTTATATTGCCGCTGTATACAGAATCATTTCCTTAATTATATTTTCTAAATAGATACTATTTATAGATAGAAAACATACTGACTTTTAGAGTGATTTTGTACTAAAGTAACTTAGTGGATTCTCCTTAAGCTACCATTCTCTTCCCATCACAACAGAGCACTTTGATTAAGTCTGCACCACGGTCCCTAAGTAGGTGCTCAATAAATACCGTTTCTGCTATCAAGTGCTGTTCCCACTATCCCAGCTCCTCATCCTCCTCCCCAGTGTCACACACTCTGCTCTAGAAATATTGCTAGCAATAGTCGCAACTACCATCACCACTAACTCCAATTTAGGCTTTCATAACTGCGATGGTTTGAATGTTTGCATTCTTCCAAAATTCATGTTGAAATTTAATCAACATTATGGCAATATTAAGAGGTGGAGCCAGGTCACATTTCCTTTAAGTCTCTGGCCCCCTCTCCAATGCTGGAGAGGTGGAGCCACCCTCTCTCTCTGATCTATTTTCTGAACAAACTTTCTAATATAAAAAAAAGAAAAGAAAAAAGAGGAGGGGCTGGCCAGGTATGGTGGCTCACACCTATAATCCCAGCACTTTGAGAGGCTGAGGTGAAAGGACTGTCTGGCCCTAAGAGTTTGAGACAAGTATGGGCAATACGGCAAGACCTCATCTCTACAATAAATTAAAAAATCATCTGGACGTGTGGTACATGCCTATAGTCTCAGCTATTTGGAAGGCTGAGGCGGAAGGATTGTCTGAGCCCAGGAAGCCAAGGTTGTGGTAGCCTTGATTATGCCATTGTACTCCAGGCTGGGCTACAGAGTGAGACTCTGAATTTTTCTTTAAAAATGTGAGAGCTCTCCCTCATGAATGGGATTAAAGCCCTTATAAAACAGGCCTCAGAGACATGCCTGGCCCTTCCATCTCTTCTGCCATGTGAAGACACAGTATTCTTTCCTTTTTTACCCCTTCCACCAAGTGAAGATGCAGCAAGAAGATGTCATCTTATAAGCAGAGAGTAACTGAAAGGCGCAGAGAACAGTCAGAAGGGCATCCCCAAGATGGCGCTGCCTCCCAAAGACAACAAAGGCCCTAAGCTCCAGCTTTTCCCACGCACACGAAACTTAAACCTGTGCTCAAACAACCTCTCCCTATAGGAATACTACCTCATAGTCTCCTCCAATAAGACCCAAACACGGCACTGGCCAGCCCCTGCAAGGTCCATAAATATACCCCTCTCCCTGCATAGCTCTCTCTCTTTCTCTCTTGCTTTCTCTCCTTGTCCCCACCACTCTCTTGCTGGCTCTCTCACTCTGTCTCCTTCCCTCTTTCTCTCTCTCTCTCTCTCTCTCTCTCTCTCTCTCTCTCTCTCTCTCTCTCTCTCTCTCTCTCT